CATATTGCCTGAAATACAATGATTTTATCTTTAATAAAACATTTTAAAATAATTAATTCATTAGATTTTTATAATAAAAATAATTAACATCATTTATTCAATCCTTTTCATTCCCTTAATTACCAACTTGATAACAAGATTGACATTTAATAAAAGTGTACCAAGAAATAATTCTGAAATATAAATCAATATTCAAATAAACAAAATTGTCAGTTATGCATAACAACAGTTGATTTTTATAATAATAATAATCATTATTATTATTACTATTGAACTTTGAATGACAGAATGTTATTCTAATACAAATTTAAAGTAATTTATTAAATGTATTTGCGTTCAGGGTGAAATAAGAAAAGGGAAAGTGAGTGAATAGATTATTTTAATGTACAACTACATTTATTATGTAACAAATTTATATTGATCAATTTAATACACTTATTATAAAGCGATTAGTCCCTTTAATAAATTTCGATAGTGTAATAAGAAGACAAAGATTATCAGAACTATGTGATATATATTAGCGCAATACATTTCGAACAATCTGATTACACATTATATACTTGTTAAGAACATTTATATATAAAAATAAAAAACCAACTAGACTAGAAATCGAGGGTAAGAGGAGATAAGGATAATAAAGAAAAAACCCGAAACATACCCATTAAGGGAATTGGGGCCAAGGAAAGATGAGAGGTTAGACGAATCGTTTCTGCACGCAAAGTTTGGGCTTGAGTTTGTGAATTACCAATGCTTCAGCAGTGCGTAAAATATTGTTTCGACACACCTTCGATCCAAGTCCTTTGATTCTGTAGATAACTTTAAAAGAGGAATCCTTTGGAGTGATGTATCCACAGTTGATTAAATGCTGAAGACAATTTGAAACTTCATCATTCTAGATAATAAGCCAGTATTACCAGGTTGGTTTAGGGTGAGAACAAACTGTTTTTGAATATACAGAGGGGCTTTGAATTTTCGTATGGCTTAGGCTTCAATAGACCTTGGTATACGCCCTTTTGTACTTTTATACAACACCACAAAAGCCGAGTTAACATAAATCTTATAACCTGTTTCAATTATGTGTTAGGCAATAGAGAATGATGGATGTTTATCCTCTACTCTTATTAAGTTATTTGATTCTATTTGTTTCTGCAACCATTTAAGTACATGTTCATACATCCTAATTTGGAGATCGCGATTACTCCTACCTATGTATACGTGAACGCACACACATTTAAATTGGTAAACACAGTGGAATGTGATGCAATGGTTTTCTTGTCTTCTAGGTTTTCGATGAAGCATAAACCTTGTTGTTTCCTTGTTAGTGACCTTTTCTGCGCAGTACTTTTTTTTTGATGACTGATTCAATCCTTTGTTTCAATAAAAGACTATCTGAATCACTTCTACATAGTAAGGTGATGTAGACAAGCTTTTTCTCTATTAAAGCTATAGTAGGTCTCACTGTACCATCAACTTTAAGAGGATAGCCATTTTCCATTAATGTTTTATTTAATAATCTAACATCATCATCAATAGTGTCATTTATAGGTATGAAAATGAAGGATTACATATATACTTCTATGAAATTCTTGTGTATATTATTATTTGTCATAATTGTTATTAAATAATTTTCATAGATTTAAATAAACAATTCTGTTTTCAATGATTTACTTTTATTCTGTCTTCATCAATATCGACTGTTTCTTAGTTGGTTATCATGTCTTCACTATAGTTAGGACTTGATTGGGAATTAAAACTATTTATTTGTAAACAGTTTCTATTGAGTTTTCATGATTAAGAATTTCATAAGTGTCATGTAATTAATTAGATAGTCATATAGATAATTAAACTGATCACACTATGTTAACTGTTTATGTCAAATTATCTAATCAGTAATGTATTTAATGTATTTTGTACCAGTCTAAATATTAGTTATGGTACTGTAACAGTTCTAAAAATCAATATATTTAGATTCTGTAGGGGGAGAAAAATGAAATTATCTGTTCAGTCACATATTTTGATATTTGATGTCATAATTATTATATCAAAACAATTTGCGCAGAATGCACATATGCTAACGAAGACTGAATAAAATTAGATCAAAATCTCGACAAGGGGATCATTCAAATTATTTCAAAGTGGAGGTAAGATTCATACCTGTTGCACAAGTCGGTGTCTATCTGGACTCAATAGACAAGTGAGTAACTTATCGGTGTTTATAGCAAAAATAATACAGGGTTCGAATCCCGGAGTGAACATTAACTTTGTGTTACAGGTACACTCAACTGATGACAGTGTTACTAAAATTGTAAATGTAATATTACATGAGAATACAAAAATGAATAGAACTATTAGCAATAAAGCATGATAACTAAAATAATGTATTTATAAGATTGTGGTTATTACTAGTGAAATGTTACTTCTTAAAGGAAAATAATCTATAGAATCAACTGAAAATGTAGAACATTGTTCAGTATAACTTAGTGTACTCTTACTCTGTTCCTAGACTTACTACTAGTAGAAACATGAAATACTTTTTTGATGAATGAAATGTAGTAATTAACGAAAGTAAAGCATCAGCGTTTCACGAGGAAAGTTTTCAGTTTATCATTCAGTATAACTTTGCTTTTGTGATAACGTGCTTACCAAAGCTTAAACGTCATTTCAGTAGACTAAAATTTAATATCATCTAAAATACATTGAATTAATATGGTATTTCTCCTGTTCCGTGGTTATTTGAAATAATTACAATGGAAAATGTTTCATAGAACATATAAATTGTGAATCACATTACTGGGCATTAAGTAATGTCATCAAACATTGTATGAAGATAATTAAGCAGAAGTAAATACGTCCAGATTGCAAATGGAGTAGAATAGAATATATTAAGCATTTGTTTGACAGATAAATAAAATACTATTTGTAGGAGTATTTTGATGACAATGATGAGAATTATATCAGATACCATTAAATAATACGCTTTAGCAAGTCAGTAATAATCGATGATTCAACTATTATCAAACACAATTCCTAATACATAACTATATACGTATATAAATACGAAAAGTTTACATTTCTAAACTTTCCACAAATATAATCAGAGAGGGGTTTTATGGATATTATAGTAATTTAATAGTTGAATCGATGAGTCAATTGAAGCTAGATCACCATGGAAAACCTAGAAACACTGAACAGCCGTTTCATCTTATCGTGGACTCCTCAACAGTGCGCATCCATGATCCCGATCCGCGAGATTCGAACCCAGGACCTATCATCCTCGTGCTCGAACGCTTAACCACTAGACCACTGAGCCGGCACCCGACGGTGTTAATGTCTAACTCTGACTAATCCACGAAATTGCGCCACTGACCATCATTGTCTTCAGTGGATTAGTATCTCATAACAGACGCGGTTAAACTCCACTGGTTACTGCTTTTCACTAGAACTTAGAAACCGTCACTAGTGAGCTTATGATGGTGAGTTTTAGTGAGAAGCCGTGACCAGTGGAGTATATGGTGGTCTAGCTTTAATTTATACATGAATTCAACTATTAAATTTTCATAAATACTTAACGGGCGAACTATCTTCCCTCGTATATCAAAGTGGCAAAATAAAAAATCTTTAAACACATTATTAATAAACATGTCATTCTTGTTGAGAAACCAGTGACAGCTATTGTTCTTTCCCTATTTACTTGTTTATTCAAATATTTATAAATTTTCATGTTTTGGAAAAACTGATATCTTTACAACATTTTTAATATATGAACCATCAGATTTTATAGCATTGTTTTACGCGACATCCTTGGAAGTGTACTAGAAAATGGTTTACACCCAAACAAGAGGAAAATAGTAAACAGAAAATAAAATAGATGCAATGAATGTGACGAGAATCTTAAATAAATAATAATAATGAATGATACTATCACATAGACAGTAGTGTGAAATAGCAACGTGTATGTCATAATTTAGTTAGTATTGTGATGTGTGCTACTGATGTCAATAGATACAAGTAGTATGTGTCATCAATAGAAAGTGAAATACCTGAAGACAGAATATTAAGATCTAAGGAAAGAGAACGAGAACAGAGAATGATTGATGTGAAAATAAAGTTTGAAACGATAGATTGACATTTTAAAAATCAGGTATTCATTGTATGATTCTCAGATTTTACTAAGATATCCTGTAATGCTGTATTAAAATACGATCGATTATCCCTACATGTGTTCTCGTTCATTACAGTATAACACATGACATAGTATGTCTAACATTATGGTTAATCTTTAAATGTATACCATTCTAGTGATAATTTTAATAAGATTTCAATGTTTATCTAGTCGATGAAAAACATTTGAATGTGTTGTGAACAGATTTAAAATGTTAATAAACTTACATTCTTAATGTGTAAATAATTAAAGGGAATTCCTTCATCCAATTTTATCATAATTTTAATGCTTGTTAAAACTTGAACTCAATTTTCTGTTCACTTAAGACATATTTTTAATACAATACCATTAAAATGATTGTATGTCATTTACTTGACCATGTTTATTAAGATAGAAAAAATTTTTCTTAGTTTGATTCACATGCCGAGCTAAGCTAGACCACCATTGAAAACCTGGAAGTACTGAATGGCCGTTTCGTCCCAGTATGGGACTCCTCAGCATATATTTATTTATTATGTATTTATTTTGTTTGTTAGTTTATTTCTTTCATATCTTCGTTAGGACACTCATATATAACTATATGCTATAATTATTAACCAATCAAATAATTACTTAACTACTGAAAACCAATCAAAATTTAGTAAAGTGTCTAATTATTACTTTTTTATGACTTGTCAAATTATGAACTGTATACACAGAATAATACTTTACATAATGTTATTCAATAATGAATTTGATGAGTTATGGGTTCATAAAAGAATATATCAATACATTAATGGAACAATAATTATTTTCATTGTGAATATCATTTTTGAAAATAAAGATATGAATATGAAATATGTCCCAGCATAAAGGATTATCTACACCACAGAATAAGTTTCTTGAAACTATAGTTGCACGCTCAGATGCATTACGTGAGTAATTTTTAAAATAATATTCATAATTAATGTGACTTTTATAATAAAATGCGACTGTTGTATAGGTTTTCTTTATGTTCTATGGGTAAATAGATGTAGAGATTAGATGCTACATTTTCAATACTAGTTACTTCATGATTATTCAACTGATTTATTTATTATTTTTTTAAATAGCCCGTTTTTCAAGGCATAATAAAATATATTAAAGATTTATTTATAGCTGTATTCATGATGGTGACAAAAGAAGTACATAAATGGTGCAACTTTTATATTGTTACCATAAAGCAAATTGTGAATCGGTTAATGTTATAAAATTTAGATTATGACAAAATTATACAGTGAACAAGTTGCTCAACATTTGAATCGATCAGTGAAAATTAGTAGAAAACGTGGATTTAGTAGTTTTAGCATTCAGTTTACTTAGCTTAGAACTAAATACAGCTTGCTACGATCTATGCGAAAATGTAACTATAAACCCTTTCTTTTATAACGAATATTTTGTAAGGTCAATCATCAATTTTTCCATTTTGTTTGAACAAAACTCTCAAGTATCAACAAATCAGGGTGTTTAAATGTGATTGCATTCATTCATGACTTTACGTATATCAAAGTAATGATTTCGTTATCGAACAAAATTTCTCCTCTGTACCACAGAAAATTCAACTATGCATGAAACTCAACCAATTTGAAAATCCACAACTTGTAGAGTGCCAGTTTTGGGCATAGTAACATTTAAGATTAAGTGAATTTATTCGAATAGGATATATAACATTTTACAAAATTTATTCTTGAAGAAGAAACTATTTTCTAAATATTCGGAAGTATGCATAATATAGTTTCGTGTGTTTAAATATATTTCCTATCTACTTTCGTTATCCTCCACTCTCATATTCAACTCGATAGGTCTGTATTTTGATTTTGTATCAAATATACTATGTGACCTTTTAATTTGAGTACCCTGGAGACAAAAAGGATATATTGATATCTATTGTGTTCAAAAAAAATTAGTAACAGTTATTACTTAAGATTTAATGAGACATCAAGATAATCAGTTATGTTAATTGTACGGTTTTGAAGACTTGACAAATAAAACCATATATCAAAAAGCTAACACTTGTTAATCCAGAGTACGTTTTATATAATTAGTGAAAAATTCCCCACTCAACTAAGCCCTACTGATTGTTTTGAGAAGTATAGCTCCTGCGAGGATGCGATCTGCAGGGGTTACTTTTTGGCTTGAGTTGAAATTTCTACTTGTTTTGTAAACGCTTCCTTCAAGTGACTAAATTCTTATGAGCAACATAATTATTTCACATGCTCAAAAAGATATAAAATAATATATTTTAGTAATGCATTTTTCCAAATAACTCAATCCAGAGTCAGTAATGGACCTGTAAATTCTCCCTGGCTGTTGTCTTTGAGATAAATTCATCAAATTACAATTCAAAACTAATCTAGCCTAACCACACCAGTAGTGAAACATCAAATCTTCTACAGCATTTTATGATCATTTTGCGACATTGCAATTTGTATAGATTATTACTCTATGGTTTAGAAATAATTATCTGTTTAGACCTCAAGGATCTATGCTTAGTATATGTTTTACTGAATATGCTCATTTTGACAAATTCTTAAATTATAAGAGCATAAATCTGGAAAGTTTCTTGTTATTCTGTTATAAAGATATACTGAACTATATTACTCGTCTTCATCCTTAAGTCATATATAAATCTATTTATAAAAGAAACATTTCGATATTTTCATCATGAAATTTCTTTCAAATCTTTTGTATTTTATATAAATCTACATTCAAATTTACATAACATGACAGCTTAATCAGTCGTTTATATGTTAGTTCACTGATTAACAATTTATGTTCAATTCACATTTTCAACTCAATCTTAGCTGATTTTAAGTTTTACTAGTTTGTTCTATTAATTCAAAACACCCCTTTCAATCGAAAAGAAAAGAAAAAAAAACAATCATCCAAGTCTTTCTCCAGAAATTTAATTTGTAAATTTAATTTTTCTTCAAATAATTTTTATAGAATCTACTGTTCAATTTATTATTTTCTTTAAAATTTAAATTAAATTTCAGCTGTTACCAAATTGTTTTAACATTAAGAAAACAATTTGTTTTATTTTTATTTATTTTTTTAAAAAAAAACAATCTTTGAAGGTATTTAAAGCATACCTTTTAAGTATTTTGTTATATAAATAAGTACTTTGTTTTATTATAAGTAATCAATCACTAAACATTTTAATAACCATGGTGACAGTTCCTAAAAAAATTAATCCATCTGTAATACATTAAAATATTTAAAAAAAATTCTCGAAATTGTTAAATTAGTATTTGCATTTTTTTGTTTATCTTAGAAGTATTCCAATAAAAAAATATCTCAAATTTTTTTATCTTTATAGATTGTATTGAGTCACTTGTACTCGTATTCATATTATAACTTGATCAGTTAAATATGTTTAACACTTGAAGGACTAGATAAATATGATATTAGTTACTACTCAATCATCAGTTAATTATAAATATGTATATGAAAATCACTACAGTAATAATAAATCCAAAACATTATAGTCTTTTAAGGAGGAAGGATGTATTTGTAAAATCTCAGCAAAACAATATGCAGTAAATCTAAAGTCCCGCCAAGTAATCTGGACCAAACTTTTTTAAAGGAAGTATAATCAAACATCAAAATTATCGAATATAAATAGGTACATGGTTCTCTGTATACTGAATAGGTCATCCAATCAACGTTAACAATGTTTAAAGTAGGTATTTGCATTATTGTACCATGTATCTATTTATATTCGATAAGTTTGGTACTTGATTATACTTCCTTGAAAAAGTTTGATCCAGATTGCTAGGCAAAACGTTAGATTTACTTCAAATTCATTTGCTGAGATTTTACTAATACATTTTTTCTTTTTAGTGTTTCACATCAACTCAGTGCCTGAATACTGTGAAACTATTCAATCAAATTCGGACGAAAGTTCTTATTTATTATAATGTTTAGTAGAATCCTAGCACTTAGTCATACATCTTTTTTATTTTTAACGTAGACTTAAATTTGATCAAATAAAGTGATTTATTTAAGTACAACAAATTGGGCATTTATCACCTATTGGTTATAGCTGATTAGAACTGTCTCATTCAACTATGTTATTGTTATAAATTCCATTATCAGCCTATCATGAATAATCATCAGACAGATTATCAACAATCTATTGGTTAAAAATCATTTATTTAGGTTCTTCATTATTTTTAGAAATTTTTTTATTGAATCACATTCGCTACTTATATATGATATGTACATATAACGTTAAATAGATAATGAATATTTTATTATTGTACTTTTATTTTATAATAACTGGCATCAAAATGTTTTATTTACGTAACTTGGTGGATACTTTTTTAAATTTATTCTAGTCGAGATTTTTCAAATATATTTTGATAGCGAGGTGGGGATGAGTAGGAGGAGAAAGTAGAATTGATTTTCATTACTAACTGATAAATTTCCTTAAAAGTTTACTATGAAGTATTATTTTAACGGGAATAAAGTCAGTTTAATCCATCATGAGATAAATTGTCTAATCTATTTTTGTGAAAATATATAGTTGCATTTTTCTAACCAAAAATAAATAAACCAAAGTTAATGATATGGATGGTTTATTATTACTTTTAGGATCCTTAATAAATCAAATGCTGATCTCAAAAGAGGATAAACATTAAAAATGAGAGATAATTTAAATAGAACCTAAATCTTCTAAATACATTGTCAACAAATTTTTCATCACATGCAAAGCACCAATGACAATTTATGTTAAATGAATTAAAAATTTATCACATTATTCATTTACAAAATGTTTGATGGAAAAATATTCAAGAGGGAAACTATCATAGGTCATAGCTGAATACTTCACAAATCGTCCTTGAAAATTTACTTTTAATCATAATGAGTTCGTGTAAAACTTGAAGGTGAAGGTCATTTGAACTCGTGGGAATAGTTCTTTATTTATTGTTTAGTTTCTCTCGAATGGTTCCTAATCCCGATTGTGATGATTATCCTAAGTATTTCGAAAATTTATTACTACATCACAAATGTTAAGTAGTGATTATACAAAGAATTCTACTATGTTTGATGGCTTATAGTTTGAAGTAAAATGGCAAAAACTTATTTTGAGTGGGAAAAGAACATTTATTTTATTTATCTTGTATTAGTTGTTTGAATGTTCCCACTGATGTTTAGGACTGAAATCGATTAGTCTTTTATTGGCATATGTGAGTCCTGTGCGGATCGCCTCGATATTGTTTCAAGTCATATTCATTATAAGTAGAGGTGGATAGTGGTTAGTGTGGTGTGTGCTACGTATACGGGCATAAGTAATATAAAACGCTGGTCAGGAATATAATGTCTAGCAGCAGTAGCTCGAGAAGATCGAGGAGGAAAGAACTGGAACAAAAAGAAATTGGTACGGAAATGCAGGAACATTGAAGTCTGAAGCGATTGACTAATATTTGCAAAAAGAATAGTCAAGCTTGAAACAGTTGATTGACAATTTTCAAACTATGCATTAACTGTATGGTTCTTAGATTTTATCAACATGTTCTGTAGTTTTATGTTCAAGTACATTCGACTGTCCCCACTTGTGTTCTCGTTCACTATACTAGCAGTGGTATTCAGGTACCTCGGGTTTCGTCCTATTTGGGACTCGTCACCTCATTAAACAAGCTAATGGCTGTCTGGACTTGGCGACTAAGTGGATGAAGTGATGGCGTTCAAAACGAACGGTACTGGCATCGAGTCCTAAAGTGAACATCAAATCTGGAATGCAGATACACCCGGCAGATGAGTGCCGATTAGAACGAAACTAGCGTCATAAATTCTAATACCAGCCGACATTCATCTCTGCTTACTTGTTCTAATTTTTCATTCGGAATGAACTGGGATTTCTGAAAAAAATACAATAATTATTTCCTTAACT